TTGCAATGACTGTGACAACGAATACATCGGACAGACCAAACGTCAGTTTGGTACGCGGTTAAAAGAGTACCAAAAAGCGGTTTTCCTTTGCAAGAAGGAAAATTCAGCTTTATGGGAGCATATATGCCTAACTAACCATACAATTGGGTGGGATAATTCTAAAATTATCACCACTAATCGGCGTTACCGCCAGCGCCTTTGTTTGGGGGCTTGGCATATTAACTCCGCCCACGCTCCTTTAAATCGTGACGATGGCGGTTTGCTTCCTGACGCCTATTTACGCCTCGTCAGAAAAAAAGGCCGCTAAAAGGACCTCTTGTTGCAGCGTTTAGATCACCCCTGATGAAGGCACTAGACAGAAGTGTCGAAACGTTGGGTCTATGAATTGTAACTTCTTCGGTTACATTCATTAAATCTGCAAACCAGAGTAGCTTCAAACTATGCCAGCTTCAGAACACATGAGGGATTTGATGAAGTTTCCGATTAGCATACGAGAGGGAAATTTAAACGCTCGGAAAGGCTGAAGGAGAGACAGCGAAAAGAACATTTGAGGGGAGAAAATAGCAGCGAGAAAGTTGGAGGGGGATACTTTCACTTTCTCGCTCGACGGACTATCGAATCACGACTTCGCCGCTCTCAGATTTATCTTTCATAGTGTGAGAGCAGTTCAAATCTCGCGCGCGCTACGCAAGTCAGACTCAAATCTTTGTGTGCATAATAAGTAATGGTAATAGGACTGAGTGGATTCCAATTCGGTCTGTAATCATACAAGCGATAACAAAATTGAACGACCACGCAGCGGAAGTCCGATTTGTTTATCACGAGCATGATAAGGAACTGTCCGATAAAAAAAGATTAGTCACGAACTCTTTTGCGTCGCTTCGGCCAAAGTTCCTTAGCGCTACAAATAACTAAAAGACTATTGTTTAATACTTAATGTGAGAAGTTGAGCCGGAACCGCTGTCAGTTTAGTTCGGTTAAGTGTGTGAAAGGAAGCAGCGGCGTCTCTGTTTATCTCTCTAGTTTTTGTAAAGGCTTCTTAGTAATTCATCGTTTCTTTTTCCAACCTTTTTACCGTGTGGGAAAATCGGCCGCTGGAAGAGCTAGATTGACGTGAATGACATAACGAGGATGAGGGTACTTCTGCCGTTTTATGTTTGTCACGCAACATCTCTTTACACACAAATTCTGTCGGTGAAAATTAGACGAGCATTCATAAGCGCTCGTGGCTCATTATATTGCCCAAAATGTTTCTTATTTTCCCTTTTCAGCGGAATAAAAAACGCAGAGCAGTATTAATTTAAAAAGAAAATTGTATGATTAAACGTAGGAGGTTAACACAGTGTAAAGTAGAACGAAAAGTTGGGCTTAGGAAAAGTCACTTTAGACATATACAGTTTGATATTTCTATCAACTACAAGTTAAAAGTAATATTCAGTCAAAATTGTTTGTTTAATCTTTGTGTGCAGATGTTTTTGACGATTTACCCGCATCTTGCTGTCCCACAAAGTACATTGATGTCTGTTGTCCGTTTGCAAAATTGTGTGACGCTACAGCGACACCTACTCCTAGTATGATGACTTCAAGTCCAACGCAGAGAAGCAGGGGAAAACCATTTTGTATGAAACCTCAAAATTCGTCAGCTTGTGAGGCGGGATTTTTCTTCAACAAAAGTTTGAAGAGACTCGAACCCTGTCCTGATGGTAAGTTTGTAGTTGACAGAAAAGTAGAGATGGCAAGTTTTGAGCTCGGTGAAGAATCAAGAAAGATGTTTTTTCGTCTTGTCACGTTCCAAATCCGAAGGTTTGAGTTTCGATTCCTCATCGGGACTCAGAATTTTTTCTTTGTCCCACGCTCGTGACAAGACGAAAAAACATCTTTCCTAAGTTTGTAGTTCCCTGATGATATTTGATCATTTTGCCATCCCGGAAGTGGGAAGTTGCAACAACTTACGGTTGTTTGTTATAATGAAATATAGTTAGCAGCTTTCATATTAATGTCTAAACGCGGAAAATTCATTAAAATAGTGGTTTATTTCGCGGTTTATGGATAAGATCTATTTACTATCAATTTCCGAAGTGCGGTCATGGAATGGGTGCGGGGGAAAAAAATGGAGGTTAACTAAGAAAATAACTCAACCAGGCTGGATATTTTGTTAAAGGATCCTAAGACGCTTTCCGTTTTGTAACGAACTTCAGGTCGGGATCGAAACTTGGTTAGTTTATTACTGTCGTCTCTGCTGATTTCTGTAGACAGATTTAAGTAGGCCTTTGCATTGTGACAGAGCCAAATTGGTAAATGAAGGATTTTCAATGATTCATGTTTTGCGTAGTTACATATTATTTCGTATGTTTAGAGAGAAAACAATTTTTTTCTCTCGTAACCCGCTATTATAGATTCTCGCTACAGCGGACACTAAATCTATTCCCCCCCCTCGAGGGTGTCCGCAATAAAGGGGGTCGACTCTACACAGTTTTACTACGATTGAAGTTTCAGACCGATGTAGAAAAAC